TTACGCTCGCTGTACACTTACAAGTATGTTGAAAAATTAAGTTTATGAGGCTGAAGCTAGCAGACAAACTAGCAGATATATCGCGCGGCGGTCCCTTTATGTTTTGACATTGTTATTAGGCAAAATCTTTGATTTAGGTGGATAGTATCATGAAAGTTTAGAAATAAATAAATATAAGTGTATTTATTAAAAAAAAATTAGTTAATTCAATTTGAATTATTAGTAAAAATAAGATAATCTTACACAAAGACGGGGACAAAACAACCACATTTACAATGCGATTATAAATATAATTTTTATATCAAATATTCATTAGATTTTTGTTAATTGATTAAACAAAAAAAAATTGGTCGAACAATGATTTAAAATATATTTTTTTGGTTTTTTAAATTCAGGTGTTTTGTCGTTAAACGACTATAAGAACAAAAATACCAAAAATGCACATTTAGCACGAGATTACAAATACAATTTTTATACCAATAATTAAGTACAACACTAGCTATAAAATAAATAAAAAATCATTAAACAGCAAGACATCTAAATATAGTTTTTAGATCAATAAAGTCAAGCGTTTCCGCGGATAAATATTACCTAATAAAACCAACAAAAACAATCATTTAACACGAGATTCCAAATACAATTTTTATACCAAAGATTCAATAAACAAGTATCAATAAAAAAAATAATAAATTATCAAATAGCAAGATCTCTAATTACATTTTTTAGGTCTTTAAAAATGGCGCGATTCCGCGGATAAACCTTACTTTATCAAAATGATAAAAACCAATATTTATCACGAAAATCCAGGTATAATTTTTAGTATAAATGATTCAATACATTGGTATAATTCAAAAATATATTAAATCATTACATAACAAGATCTCCAAATACGTTTTTTAGGTCTTTAAAATGGCGCGATTCCGCGGCTAAACCTTACTTTATCAAAATGACAAAAACCAATATTTAGCACGAAAATCCAGGTACAATTTAGAGTATGAATGATTCAATACATTGGTATAACTCAAAAAATAATAAATCATTACATAGCAAGACCTCCAAATACGTTTTTTAGGTCTTTAAAATGGCGCGATTCTGCAGATAAACCTTACTTTATCAAAATGATAAAAACCAATATTTAGCACGAAAATCCAGGTACAATTTATAGTATGAATGATTCAATACATTGGTATAATTCAAAAAAATAATAAATCATTACATAGCAAGACCTCCAACTACGTTTTTTTAGATCTTTAAAATGGCGCGATTCCGCGGATAAACCTTACTTTATCAAAATGACAAAAACCAATATTTAGCACGAAAATCCAGGTATAATTTTTAGTAAGGTTTATACACGAAATCGCGCCATTTTAAAAATCTAAAACACGTCTTGCTATGTAATATTTTATTATTTTTTTGAATTATAATAGTGTATTGAATCATTCATACTAAAAATTATACCTGCATTTTCGTGCTAAATATTGGTTTTTGTCATTTTGATAAAGTAAGGTTTTTCCGCGGAACCGTGCTTTTCAAAGGACCTAAAAAACGTATTTGGAGGTCTTGCTATGTAATAGTTTATTATTTTTTTGAATTATACCAATGTATTGAATCATTTATACTAAAAATTATATCTGGATTTTCGTGCTAAATATTGGTTTTTGTCATTTTGATAAAGTAAGGTTTTTCCGCGGAACCGTGCTTTTCAAAGGACCTAAAAAACGTATTTGGATGTCTTGCTATGTAATAGTTTATTATTTTTTTGAATTATACCAATGTATTGAATCATTTATACTAAAAATTATATCTGGATTTTCGTGCTAAATATTGGTTTTTATCATTTTGATAAAGTAAGGTTTATCCGCGGAATCGCGATATTTTAAAGACCTAAAAAACGTATTTGGAGGTCTTGCTATGTAATGATTTATTATTTTTTTTTAATTATACCAATGTATTGAATCATTCATACTAAAAATTATACCTGGATTTTCGTGCTAAATATTGGTTTTTGTCATTTTGTTAAAGTAAGGTTCAGCCGCGGAATCGCGCCATTTTAAAGACCTAAAAAACGTATTTGGAGATCTTGCTATGTATTGATTTATTATTTTTTTGAATTATATCAATGTATTGAATCATTCATACCAAAAATTATACCTGGATTTTCGTGCTAAATATTGGTTTTTGTCATTTTGTTAAAGTAAGGTTCAGCCGCGGAATCGCGCCATTTTAAAGACCTAAAAAACGTATTTGGAGATCTTACTATGTAATGATTTATTATTTTTTTGAATTATATCAATGTATTGAATCATTCATACCAAAAATTATACCTGGATTTTCGTGCTAAATATTGGTTATAGTCATTTTGATAAAGTAAGGTTTAGCCGCGGAATCACGCAATTTTAAAGACCTAAAAAACGTATTTGGAGGTCTTGCTATGTAATGATTTGTTATTTTTTTGAATTATACCGATGTATTGAATCATTCATACTAAAAATTATACCTGGATTTTCGTGCTAACTATTGGTTTTTGTCATTTTGATAAAGTAAGGTTTAGCCGCGGAATCGCGCCCTTTTAGAGACCTTAAAAACGTATTTGGAGGTCTTGCTATGTAATGATTTGTTATTTTTTTGAATTATACCAATGTATTGAATCATTCATACTAAAAATTATACCTGGATTTTCGTGCTAAATATTGGTTTTTATAAAGTAAGGTTTATCCGCGGAATCGCGCCATTTTTAAAGACCTAAAAAATGTAATTAGAGATCTTGCTATTTGATAATTTATTATTTTTTTTATTGATACTTGTTTATTGAATCTTTGGGACAAAAATTGTATTTGGAATATCGTGTTAAATGATTGTTTTTGTTGGTTTTATTGAGTAATATTTATCCGCGGAAACGCTTGACTTTAATGATCTAAAAACTATATTTAAATGTCTTGCTATTTAATGATTTTTTATTTATTTTATAGCTAGTGGTGTACTTAATTATTGCTATAAAAATTGTATTTGTAATCTCGTGCTAAATGTGTTTTTTTTGGCCTTTTTGTTCTTATAGTCGTTTAACGACAAAACACCTAAATTTAAAAACACCAAAAAAATATATTTTAAATCATTGCTCGACCAAAATTTTTTGTTTAATCAATTAACAAAAATCTAATGAATAGGTATTTGATATTAACATTATATTTATAATCGCATTGTAAATGTGGTTGTTTCGTCCAAAGTGTAAGATTATTTTTACTTAGGTAAGTATAAGTAATTCAAATTGAATTAATCCATTTTTTTTTTTTTCAATAAATACACTAATATTTATTTAGTTCTAAACTTTCATGATACTAAAGTCCACCTAAACCAAAGATTTTGCCGAATAACAATGTCAAAACATAAAGGGACCGCCGAGGGGACCGCCGCGCGGTTTGTCTGCTAGTTTGTCTCTAGCTTCAGCCTCATCAGCATTATTCTATTTAAAATAGAATGTATTTTATACTCATTAAAATTACTTATACTTACTTACTTTTTTTAATCGCGATATGTAATATTTAAGTACTATTTATTTTTTATCACGTATTACACTTATATTTTACAGCGATTTTTTTTTATTTTGTATTTATAAAAATTTTACATGTAATTCATCATTGATAGGGCCAGATTTAATGCGGTCACAAGATGTCGCTTCCTTCGCGCACCCGGCGAATACCTAACTAATTTGTAAACTCTTCAATTATTATACTTTTATGATTTGTTTATTTAAGTAAAAATAATAGAATTTTGTGATAAAATACCAGAATCTGTATTAAACATATCGTTCCCGGCCCCTAACACAGAACAAAAATTAATATCTGTTCATATCAGCTTATACAATTGTTTATAAAATTAAACAATAAGTATTCCTTTGTAAGTTTTTATAACTTCTTATTGACATTTCACATGACATTTTTGAGTAATTTCTAGAAATACAATGTTACGAAATCATTTTATTTGACTCATTCAACATAATCGTTCACTCTAAATTCTCCTCTACCCGATCATACTGTTAATACTCAGACTACTTTTTTTAAATATTGCGGGTAACGGCTGAAATAGAAACAAGTAATAAATTAATCTTGGCAACCCCGCTCATTTTCCAGAAAAGAAATGTCAAATATTAAAATTTTAGTTTAAGTTTAATGAAAGACTCGTTTTCTTATTTTTAAAAAGATTTAATTAAAATATATAATTGATTATTTATACTTTTTTTCATATTTCCAAACCTAAAGTGAGTAAAATCACACTTAATATCATTTAAATCAAAAAGAAAAGTGAAACTGGTCAAACAGTGTTTCCCTAAAGTCGAACGTAACCCAAATACCTAATGTAAAATAAAACTTAAGATGAAATAGGTACCTACCTAAATATTAAACTAAAAAAATATATCAAACAGTCTGAATAGAAATTTTCAAATCAAAAAACGTTTACTAAATCCGTTAGGTACCTATCTTGATTTTTGTTAAATAATAATCGCGCAAATAGGTACACAAGGTTTATTAAATAGAAAAATTATTTTTGGCATTTACGAGTTTTAAAAAAAGAAATCCCTTATTGACAAAATGAGATGTTCTAAAAATCGTGTACGTACCTACGTACGTAGGCATAAACAAAATAAAATGCTATTAAGTAAAACTATTATTTTTCTATTTACATCTAATAGGTATTTAAAACAAGTTGAGAGGTGCAGATGGTAAAATTTTATACCTAAATAACCACTGAATTTTAAATTTACTGCCCATTAACAAAAATGAATCTAATTCACCAATTTTAAACGAAGTGTCAACTGATAAAAATTCAAAAAAAGTAAGGCAAAAAGCTCGGCAAAAAGTAACGGTTCAAGATAGAATTTAAAGCATCATTAAAAACCCACATTCTTCAGCTGTCGTAAAAAGAGAAACACATTCCCATTAAGTATTTCCAAATGAAAAAACAAAGTGAAATTTTTCAATTTAGTTTAGATAAACTTGACTTACCAGCACTAGTTAATGAGTAAAATAATCCAAAAAAGTTTCTAAAAAAAAATACAAACACTAACACTTATTCACATAGTTTGTTTACATAAAAAGTTTTATCAAACGTTAAAACATAAATCACCTTAAAACACACACGTAAACACTAAGAACAAATCTAATCAATGTGCACTAGAGAATTTCTTTATTTTCATTCATTTAAATGTCAAGGAGACGTAAATTCATATAAAATTCGTTTATTCACTATTTACCACTTGCCCACTTGACAGCAATCCACGAACTGAATGCTGTTTTCAAATGATCGCTAGACTGCTGCACAAGTCACATGCTGACCAATCAAATAGCGCCGAGAAAAACAAATATAACAGCGTTGTCAGACTACATAAAGTTTAAAGGGAGGCAGAGATTTGTAGAAAATGTTGTTGTTTTCATATTGTTTTTATACAGTGTGATGTAATTACGATAAAGAGACATGCGAAAAATATATTTGCCCTTCATAAACTAATTATTACTTTAATAATTACTTCTAAATTTCGAAAAAATAGAGATATCGCCAAACCTAGTAGATATTGGAATTTCCTTTTCTAAAATGTAGCATAAAAAATAATTAAAATCAATTTTGTATGTTTTTATGGTAAATTAATATTTTAAACAAATAATTATTCTAATGAAATGTAGCAGAGCTGGGTAATTACATGTACCTTAAAAATAATTACAATTACAAAGTACTTTTTCAAAAAAGGAATTAATTACAAGTACAAAGTATATGTTGTAAAAATAGGAATTATGTTGATTTAATTACAATTACATGAAAAAAGGAATTAGCAATTACTTTTATAATTACTTTTCTAATTACTTTGCGATAAAACAACAAATTATGCTATAATTTAGGAACCATGAACCAACCGGACCGGAACAAATAAAATTTTTAAATAGGTAATTTAAAGTGTAAAACTAACAGCCGTTTGCAACGACTTTCTAAAGGATTCCTTAAAGTTAAAGATAACTTAAGGGCGGGTTGTATAAATCTTACTCAAAGTTAAACTCTGTTTGAGGTGACACATGACAAATTTTGTATGGCATAGGTATAGTCTAAACACCATTTAGATTAGGGCTTGTTTCCCCAAACAGACTGCACTTATAGAATCGGAAATTGACATGTATCAACTAAAACTCAACTTAATTTTAAGTAAGCTTTATACAACCAGCCCTAAGTTTATTGTTTTCTGTACCATTTAAGGTCTTCTTAATTTAAGGGAAAAGACAAAATCGATAAGTATAAAAATGGAACAGATAAGTTAATAATAAAATGTGAACTTTTAAAAGTTTATTAATTTGGAACAAAAATACAAAACTATTCATAAAATGTTTATATTGTTACTTTTCATAACAACAAGTTTTTCAAAATTTCTGTCAGACAGCACATGCCTTCTGGGAGCGTTGACAATTGTGGCAAAGGAAAATAATCTCTCAACGGGCCCAGAAGAAGGAAGTTCCGTATTATATTTAAAGAACACTTTTCTTATCAAGGGGTAGCTATCTAGCATCGTAATATTTTTTCTTAAATCATCGAGATATTGTAACACTTCTAACTGTACCCCATTTTTTTGTACAACCGAAGGATTCACACCTTCATTGAAATAAAAAAAGTCTTTATTTATAATATCTTTGGTTGTAGTACTAATAAAATTAGCTTTCAAATGAAGTGTCACACTTTACCATAGATAATAATTTTCTATCCCGCTAGAGGGCGCTAAACTTAAAAGGAACGCAATGAACAGTCATATTGCTGAATTCCCGATAAAATTACCTTTCCGACTATGTGTCGTACTTGATATTGGTTAGATTGACGTAGGGGAGAATAATGATATATAACAGTTGAGGATATTATAGAAAGGTGTCCCCCTTGAAATAAAAATCGACCTGTTTTTGCGTTCCTTTCAAAAAAATTCTACCTCAAGATATTCTGAGATACGGCTGGTCGCCACTCTTAATGAATCACCCTGTATATAATATTAAAATTATATTGACTAATCTAAAATGTATCGTTCTGTATCTCGTTCGTACAAACAAAAATGAGACACATTTTACCTAAATTTTGTTATAATAATAACGTTTATTTAGGAGTAGAATAATTTAATTTTTTTTATCATATATAGAACAAACAATCATAGGACTAAATAAACAGAACATATTGTTCAAATACATGACACTAATTTAAAATATTTCATCTGTGTAACCCATTAAGACCATAAAGGTTGAGCTTAAGTTGAGCTTTCATTATAGATCTATACCATCAAATAATTTCTTATAACATAAAATATATTTATATTCTGTTACAAGTGCTATTAATTTAATTAAAATATTGCATTTTCTATGTTATAATCAAATACTCGTAACGCTAAAATAACTTAGAATACGTTTATTAAAATAGGTAATCCTTCATTTCAATGTAGAAAACTATAATAATAACTAGAAATACCTACGCAACGTAAATAAGTAGTTTTTAGTATTTACCCCATAAAAACTGGTATTTTTAACACTTCTTACTATATTTCCTTAGTTTATAATGTGTATGCAACATAAATTATGTTTATATTAATATAAATACAAAATAAATCTTAAAAATAAGAATATCTGCATCTACTTACCCCTTACTGTTATTACAATATTGCCCGAAATAAACAGTACTGAACTTGTCATTTTTTATATATTTAGGAAATACATATTATTGCACTTTAGTAAAGAAATCGATTTGTGCGATTCAGATGACCCAACAAATGAAAATGTGCTTCGTCTTAAAACCATACACTTTTCAAAAACTCAGGATTTTTATACTGTAACGTGAGAATGATGGCGTAATATTCTTTTACTGCGATAATTCCGATATAATTGTTGATGTACCTGGATCACATATGAAAATGCACCTAGATCCTTTAGGATTCTTTGCAAGAAAGTTCTTTTTATGTAACTGTCCTTCTCTGGCTGACTTTCGGATTTTCTAAGATTGATCAAAAAAGCGTACATGGTTATTATTGTTGTTAACTCTACTGGGACGCCCCGAGTTTCCTTTTAGTTGGCACAATACATTACCAGTATTTCTGAACTTTTCAATCCCCTATAAAATTAGGCATTACTTTGGGAACGTTCATTAAATCGTTGTGTGAATTGATCATACAGATATCGCAAATTGGCATCATTACCGAATGATTCCGTATGAGCGAAAATAATCCTCTACTAAAAACACTTTCTCCTCTATACTTAACACCATTTTTAACAATTAGGCCCTACTAACTAATTGTTTAAGGTTTACTTGTCAGATCTATACTGGCTAACTTGGGTATGACAGCGGGCGAAAATAGATACCGTTTCAGTACTGTTTATTTCGGGCAATACTGTATCATTGTATAAAGAACTAAATAGTAGTCTCACCTTATGGAAGTTTCATTGGAGCGAAATGGATACTACCAATAGATGGCGCTAGTGAATATGGATAAGTCGATATTCGTTTGCAGTGGGCGGAGTTGAGGGTCCAGCAGAAATTTTTAAGAATGACTGAGACCGATCGATGGATTTCTATTTTAGCTCTTGGATGAAATTTTATACACTCGTGATTGAATGTTTGGACTATTTTCTATCTAATGTTTGTTATTGTGCGTTTACGTTATTGTGAATGAGTTGTGTTTATGTTTTATTACTGAATTATTTTACTGTTAATAAAGGACGAGTTCCCAAACAAAATTTGTGTATTTATAACTGTTTTGAAATTAATAAAATAGAAAATATGCTTTTGTTTTTCGTTTCCTTTACAGGTTTTATCCGAATTAATTTAAAATAAATTATATAATATTAATAATAGCAATAATAATACATTTCTTAAGTGTTGAAAAAATTGTATTTTTAATTTAAATACCTAAGTACTTAGCATAAGTAATTATAAATAACAGGTTATTTCTTTAATCTGGTGCGTAACAATGTAATAAAAAAAACCCTTAAGATGGTTGGTAAATAATATAAATGAATTCTTAATATTGAAGTAAACACAATGGGTTCTATAAGGATTATTGGTTGGGGTTCGGCTTTGGGGGATAGGGTCGAAATATTGAAACTAAACTTGGTATATGGATGTATTATCCCATAAAAATAAAAATCGCTTTAAAAAATTTACCCCTTCCCACTCCTATCTGATATGGTGAGGGTGGCATTCCCAAAAAAATAAGTTAGAACTTTTTAAATAAAACAGTTGAAGTCTACGATTTTTTATACATAAAAACACAAAATTCCAATTTTTTTGAAAAAAATTTTCCAAATTTTTTTTTAACTTAGAAAACATGTCGACTTTAATCTTCATAGTTCGGATGTGGGGGCTGGCATTTAAAAATAGTTACAGACGACATAAAAATCTTATTTTTGACATACATATTTATAATATAAATGATTTGCAACATTTTTGTATAAAAATCTTACCACCACCATCCCTTGGAGGGAAATGGAGGGGATGACATCTCCAAAAAATCAAGTTAGAACGTTTTAAATAAAACAGTTGAAATCTACGATTTTTTATACATATAAACCCAAAATTTTTTTTTGAACTTTGAAAAAATTTCGACTTTAATCTTTATAGTTCGGATGTGGGGGCTGGCATTTAAAAATAGTTACAAATACATAAAAATCTTATTTTTGGCATATTTACAATAGAAATGATTTGCAACATTTTTGTATAAATATCTTACCACCACCATCCCCTAGAGGGAGATGGAGGGTGTGGCATCCCCAAAAAAATCAAGTTAGAACTTAAAAAAAAAACAGTTAAAATCTACAATTTTTTATACATATAAACCCAAAATTTCAATTTTTAAATCAAATTATTAAATTAAATTATTTTTTTAATTTCTTTATTATATTTAATATTATTTCTACTTTTTCCAACAATAATCAATTTAAGATATCTACTTTGATTGAGCCAAAATATTTAGTAGGAGAAGTTTTTAATATTATACAAACATACTGTGTGTCCAAAAAAAAAATATATGAATTTCGCTAAACAAAAAACAGGAGAACAATGTTACTTGAAAAATATATCTAGAATTAATATTTACCACCATCAAATCCTGGACCTGGACACAATTTTTTTTTAGCAATACGGGAGAAGCGGAAGTGACATTTTTACAAATGAAATTAATTTCAACAAATTTATTTGAGATCATGTACAAGATTATTCATTATTAAAGACACCTTTTATAACCACTATTGCATATTCAAAAAAAGCTTTA